AGCTTGCTGAAAGCCCCATCCACCCTGGCCTTGAATGTTTCCAGGGATGGGGCATCCACAACTTTTCTGGGAAACCTAGTGGAGTGTCTCACCGCCTTCATTACAAAAAAATCTTCCTGATGTCCAATCTAAATTGAGCCTCTTTCAGTTTAAACTGTTTCCCCTTGTCCTGTCACTATAGGCCTTGGTAAAAAAGTCTCCCTCCATCTTTCTTATAAGCCCCCTTTACATATTGAAAGGCCACAATAAAGTCTCCCCAGACCCTTCTCTTCTCCAGGCTGAAAAACCCTAACTCTCTCAGTCTGTCCTCATAGGAGAGGTGTCCCAATCCCTCTGATCATTTTTGTGGCCCTCCTCTGCACCTGCTCCAACAGGTCCACGTCTTTCTGAGTACTCAAGAGCTGGACACAGTACTCCAGGTGGGGTCTCACCAGAGTGGAGTAGAGGGACAGAATCACTTCACTCGACCTCCTGGCCACACTTCTTTTGATGCCCAGGATACGGTTGGCTTTCTGGGCTGCAGGCGCACATTGCTGGCTCAGGTCCAGTTTTTCATCCATCAGTATTCTGAAGTCTTTCTCCACAGGTCTGCTCTCAATCCATTCATCACCCAGTCTGTATTGGTACTGGGATTGCCCCGACCCAGGTGCAGAACTTTGTACTTGGATTTTAATTCTACTGCACGCTTGGTTTCTAGAGGACGAAAAATGTCAATTTTCCACCACTCATCAAAAATAAGAAACATACAAGTAGCATTCATAACTATTAATTACATATATATGATATTCAATGAATATTTACTTAGTTCATTTTTTCCTCTGTTTTTGCATTTATGTGGTTGTTTTATACTGATTTTTCCACTATAATCTTTATGCAAAAGCATTTTGAGTCTGACATTTTAAATGTAGATTTATTTGTAATCTTCTAATTCTCCAAGTTCTAATTTCTCCACCATTTCTACCTGTCCCATCCCCACTAATATACTGATACACGTGATTGCAAATGAAAAATCTCATGTACCTGGCAATGGTTTTCACTGTGCTTGCTCATCTACATATTCATCACTTTGTTACAAAGTAGATATTTAAAGATTTCCAAGTCAATTACTTTTAATATTGACAATTTGCAGTGTTTCCTTCATTTTCCCCAGCTGCTTGTGCTTTCGCAATCTTCCCAACATTTACTCATTTCTGAACTCTGAAAATATGATTTCAACATCTTTCGCATGTTTTGGGTGGGAAAAAACAAGTCAAAACATCACAGGCCTCAGCTGGCAAAGTACGGATGCTCTCTAGGTCACGGAGAGAAGCATTTTCAGCTATGTGCCTGTGTTAATAGAATCGTGTAGTATCGGGATTAGAGGGCCCAGCTCTGCCCTCTGCCCCATTCAGCATTTCCTTTGACCTCAGAGGGAGATGTGATTCAAAACCAAAACCTGACCTATGGCCCTGAAGCAGTAAAAGGTATTGTTTGCACTTTGTTGACCTGTGAAAGCCCAGTGCCAAACCTAAAAGAAAAATTCAACCACCTGAAATTGAATTTAGCCAGATTTCGGCACCAAAACGCTCCAAAATAACTTTTCAAGAAAGCCATCTAACCCTAATGAATATAAGGTCACAAAATGCCTCTTTGGTTTTCATCCCAAGTATCCACAAGTGCTTTCAGTGTTATAAAAACTTGAAACTGTCCTGGTCCAAGCAACGAGCCAGCCTGCTTTTTGGACCAGCATTCTCCAGGCAATAAGCTGATCGCAGAAGCACCATTCAACTCAAAAAGAAACCCAGAAGTACGGGTTCTACTCCTTTTGCCACCTGGGGAGACTACAGCCTCTGACTTCCAAGAAGTCCTGCTTTCTTCCACTCTCTGAGGGACTGGTCAAACGTAAAGTGTTAGGAATGGAAGCTTTCTTGCTCAAGCTGAACCACTACTGCATAGAAAAGAAGGAAAATTCACGGGATGAGGAAGGCAGTGTACAAGGTTGTACCACAGAGAAGGTCTCAACTGACACTTAGTCTCTGCTGGCAGCATGAATAAACCTCTTGTGCTGAAGGGCGCAAAGGTACCCTTGTATCTAGTGCTGCGCTCTAAGACATTCTTTCCTGGGTACAGTATTTTTTTTTCTGCATGTTCTTCTGAAGTGCCCAATTCTGAACCGAGGCATTTGGCTACTTCCTTAGGATGCTAAGACGTTTATTGGACTTCTTTACTGCTGTTATTCTGACAGGTCACAAGCAAAAATACTACACTTCAGGAAAGCAAACTGGAAAACAGCATTTGCAGATGTCTAGAAACAACATAGCATCAGATGGAACAAATAAACTTACAAAAAATAAATTTCACAGAAAGCATTGCAAAAACATCAGGTGAAGCTTTTCTTCTGGCAGCTCAGATGTGGAAGCAGCAGCATGCCCAGTTCCTAGTGTCTGTGCTAAAGGACACAGCTAACTGCCGGCTGACAAACCTCTGCCAGATTAAAAACACATCCCCCTCCCACTGAGAAGGTTCAGAGGCAGCAGCAGAACAGGAGCAGAGATGGCAGCAAAACATCCTCTACGATCTGCTACAATTCACCCCGTCCTTCTCTCCCTTGCAACTTTTTCTGGAAGAGCACTCCATCGGGGTGACGATGTCAATAGCAAAGCCTGGAATCAAAACTGCTTGCCGTACCTTGCTCCCCTTTCGGGCAAGCATACGGTCTCACCCTGGGGCCTGGCGCAGTGCCCGGCTATCCCTGGCAGCTCCCGGCGTCCGGGCGCTTCCGCTGAATCTGCAGCCCTCCGTGGCTTCCTGGAGAGCTGGTATTTTTTTAGGAGGGAGCAGGGCAAGGAAAAGCCGAAGAAGATACTGTGTTCTGTAGGTTTTCTGAGGCCCTTATGAATGTATAATGTTTTTCCTTTCCACAGCAAATACAGTTTTGTTCAGAGTTACATGCCCGTTGTGAAATTTAGTTGTATAGGTAATACAGCAATACTGCTGGTTAGTGAAAGACATCAAGAAGAGTATAAGAGTGGTATCACATGACCATGTCAAGTATGTGTTCCTCCTGGTACTCATGATTAACTAGTGCACAGTAAAAATATTTTAATAAGCTGGAGAATTTCTTAATTCCTCTGTATTTATCAGCTACGCATGGACTGTAAGGGAAAAAAATGTTTGCTTGAAAGTTAATGATTGTTTTATGATTTATGATAAGACTGTAAATCTCTATGCAAAAAGGAGAGGAGATAATCACATCCCATAATGAATCCTGAGGCAGCCTGAAAACTTCACTTTTCATATCTTGTTTCTTAGGGAGGCAAAAAATTTGAGCTTGAAATGGAAAAAGATAAAGCAGGCTCTGGCAATTGAATCATCATCATCAACTCTCGAGCCGAGTTACTATGGCAATGGCAGTGCTGCTGCACAGCTTCTTCGTACTCTTTCTACCAGTACAACAGCTTTGTAAATGTACATGGGAAATTTCCACCGCCCATGTGCCACGTGCAGCTCACAGCAGAAGCCCAGGGTCTCAGGTGCCCTGGTTTCTGCTGAATGGAAGAGCAAATTTGTGTGCTTAAAATATGCAATTTGCAATTTTCTGTTTTCCATGGAAACAGTCTTGGAGCAGTAGGCAAAGGTCCAGGATTCTTCCTGCTCTTTTGTGCCTCAGGAAGGTATGTTCCAGTGCTCAGAAGATATCTTATAAGTACATAGCATTTTTAATACAGGAATTTTAAGCATTTTTTTCAGCTCTAACTATCTCACTTCTTTGAATTATAGATGTCTTGACACTGCCAGGGGAGGATGGTATCATCTTTTTGGCAGAGCATAGCTTGGAGCTCTACATAAGTAATGGACCTAATCCTGACTCCAGGTTAATAAATTAGTAATTATAACTCTTTGTATATGCAACAATCAGTGTGTCAGTACTCACCAGTGTCCTCTTTCTTCTTCCAGGACTAGATGAATGCATCACCTTTCCTATTACTGATGGTACGTTCTCTGCACTGCACATAAAAGACACATTTGCTCTTAATTATTTTTGAGACAGTATTTAATATGTATGCCCTAATAGCAAACAGAAGTTCCCAACAGCAACTGAGGCCCTTTGTAGGAAGCATACATGCAAAGGAAATCTTTGCCCCAAAATGCTATTGCTGAAAGTACAGTTTCTGCAAGTTCATTAACTCCTATAAGCAGCCATTTATGTGGAATCTCAAACGAGCTCCACATCAAGAGTTTCATCATCCTTTTTTGTGAAAAAGCAGGCCTTTTCACCCATTGTGTGGATATGCACACAGCCCAGATTGCAGTCCCGATAATACATGCACGTCTTCTAAGTAGACGCACTCTGGGGAGCCGATGAGCGAGGTTAACACATGTGCATTAATCAATAGCAGGGTCAACAGCAACTATGGCGATGAAAGGTAAGAGAGAAAATACCATAATTAAATATACTATGCAATGTATTGACTGAGAATAAGTTTTTACGTCTCTACGTGTTCCATGAAAAGCTGTCATCGAATAATAAGGAGCAGAAAGCATCTGACGCATTTTGCTATTTATGTAGCTAACTATACATCCATCATATTTGTACTGGCAACATCTGCCCTCTGTTACGTCTCTGGTTTGGTGCCTCAGCCTGAAATTTGTAAAACTGCACACACAGCCCGTGCTCCACCCTGCCCAAAATCTTTACCCTCCTTACAGCCGTCGGCGGGCAGCACGGGCAGGGAGCGGGCAGGGAACTGCCTCCC